TGCAGCCAGTCAATTTAAAAGACAACTCAATTAAAAATACTCCAAAATGCACCAACATGAGGGCTCCAGTTCAGTGATTTGAATTATCAGACAGCAGTAGTTTGCTACAGCGAGTTTAGCACACCTGGCAATTAAAGAGGCAGCGCATCTAACTGTAAGCATTATTGGAACGCCTCCAGGATGCATTATAAAACCACAGCAGTCTGCGGGTATTGATGCTCGTGACGCGAGCATCAGGTGGCCTTTAGGAGAGCTGCTGTGTTTTGGTCCCAGAGTTTGTCACTTCAGGTTGACATACTTCTGAAGTGGCCATCTGTGGAACTGCATTTTTTTTTTTTTTTGCATTTCCAATTGGCATTAATTGGTTTCAGTGGAGCATAATAAGCAGAAATTACTACGTTTATATGAAGTGTGCTTAATTTTCCCTGGTTATGGTGATTTACTAATTTGGCATCAGCAGTCCGTATCCACCTCTGGACAATTATCATAGCTAAGGCCAATGGTACGGGTCGATGTTAGTCACTATTGTGCAGTAACAGCTACTATGGGATGTTGTCTTCCACGATTAACCTTTGAACTGTCATTTATCTGTGTATGTCAGTATAAAATGCTAAGTATGAAACAAATAGATTGGTGTGCTGCAATATGAACTGTAATCTCCCACATTTCTTGTTTTCTTACGTATTGTAGGGGTGAAACTATTAATTCTGAATAATTCCTCATGGACACAGATTCAAACTGCAGCTGCTGGTTCAACATGCAGTAAAAAATTCTATAACAGCTACATAAGTACTGCATGTGGCATATGGTCCTCAGAAATGCCGCAGTCCACTGCAGAAACAGCTAATGTTCTGGGCTTTTCCATCGTAAAGTGAAGCGAAGCAAAGAGAATGAGGACGAGTGAGCCTAACCCACAAACACCTTTTACAGGCTTAGGTGGATCATTGGGATGCATGGTGCATAGTAAGAGAGAAAGAGAGAGGGGAAAGGGGTGGGGGGAGGTGGATGGATAGATAAATTAATGGATGGCTGGATGAGGAGTGAAACTGACGTAGACATGCAGGAAATATTAGAAGAGCAGAAATAACTACTGGGAGATCGAATTTGTGCTTTTTGTGTCAACCAGTATATGACATTGTTATCAATGCACAACTCAAATTGGAAAAAGCATTTCCTTATATTTCTTCATGCATGTATGCATTGCACAACAATGGGACTGAATTATCCTGTAAATGGACATGTGCATAACAAACTGAATGATTAGCTAATACTCACGAATTGAAACATTCTGCAGATGCAGGTTGTTGGCACTCACTCCGCAGGTGAATGGAAGAAATGTCTTTTAATATTTCACTGCTGACACAAAAAGCTCTCATGTCTCTGAAGGCAGTCAGTTTGTCAAGATTCACTCGCATAGTGTAATAATTATAAATTACATTCAGCTTTCACTCTTGAATAGAACAGAGCATCATGTTAACCTATGACTGCAAAGATGTGTTTATGCTTTATATAGCTACTGGTCTGTTTATAATCTCTGGGCTGCTTTGTTTTACTGGTGCAGTTTCAAGTAATTAGTTCCCCCTGTGAGCCGCCTAATGAGGCGTGGATATGTCGCAGAGCAGCACGTGTGCATGTATCACCTGCGAGTGTGCGTATATATGCATAAATTGGATGTGCCGGTACAGGCACTCGTTAGAGTGGTTTGAGAATGAACTGCTTTACCAAGCACCAAGTTAGTTACCTGTCAGGGAAAGAAAGGGGAAAGTAGACTGTTTAGTGTGTGACACAGAAACAAGGAATGTAACAAAAGACGAGAGGTGGGGAGGGTGAGGGAAGAGGAAAAGTGGAGACTGAGACAGACCCGAGGCAAGAAAAGAGGAAAGGTGGAAATACAGGGAAAAGCTGACAACTTGGAAATATCAGCTAATGACGTGTAGATGTGAAAAGACAGCAAGATGGAGAGAAGGTAGAGGTGAAAACTTTTTCTGTCATTTACTTAATCCTTCGATCACATTTCTCATTTCCCATCGCCTCTCTCCTCCATTTTGCTTGTCAGCCACGTTCGCTTAAATATATATATCTGTGTCAGTCCAAATTAAATTTTCACCTGTCCCTTCACTGTCTCACTCCATTATTTCCACCACCCTGTCTCCATTCTTCCTTTCCCTCCTTTCACCATCTGTCTCTCCCATCAAAACAAGGTATTACACTCACACGCCCAACGGTGGATTTTCCCTCCTGCTCCAGAAGAGAAAGCATAAAACTGCAATTTTCAAATGTATGTGTCACATCCAGAAAAAATATAATCTGAGTGTGTAGGGAAGGGAGGGGTGAGTTTGGTAAGGGGCAGAGGATGAAATAGTGAGTAGATGACAGGAGAGGAAAATAGTGGTTTTGCATTTGAGATGCATCTGAGAAAAACGAATTCTCATTATCGACGTGTGCGTTTATCTTTTGTGTTGAGCACAGATAATACAGGTAAATAAACAAAACAGAGGCAGATGAATAGCAAATGTTAACGGCTCTTCTTTGCATTTCAGATTGCTCAACGCCAACAAAATTAACTGTTTGAGAGTCAACACCTTTCAAGACCTACAGAACCTCAACCTCCTGTCGTTATATGACAACAAGCTGCAAACCATCAGTAAAGGACTGTTCGCCCCTCTGCGCTCTATCAAGACTCTGTAAGTTCATATATGTTGTTTTACATCATTTGGGTGTCTTAAATAGAGCTGCTGCTATTAGTTGAATCAATAATTAATATGCTGACATAAATGAATTGACAATAGACTGCTTAGATGCTTTACTAGTGAGATATCCCATGCATGTTCAGATGGAGGAGACAGCAGGGCCGATGCAGATTATACAGGAGGGATTATATGTCCCTCAGCCCTGGGAATGCCTTAAGATCCCAGAGGAATAGCTGGAGAAAGTTGCTGGGAATTGCTGCACCTAGATTGGCAAGTGTTTTGATATGTGATTTTTCATTTTTACATCAGAAATACATTCTCAGGACACTGGGCTTCTGAAATAGCCAGCCGCTTTTTCACCAAGGGTTTTTACTGCAACATCTATCGTTTCTCATCTAATATCAGTTTAGACTTAAGAATAACATTTTCACTGGTTAGTTGACACCGCAAAAGTAAAAACAGGGCAGTGAATTTGTTCGTCTTCAGGAAACTGTTTCCTGTTATCAGCACACGATTGCTGATAACTTTGGTCGTTCTATGATCTCCAACCACTGTTTCCCCTACTGTGACTGAACGAAAGGATGCACACAGATGTATAGAGATTATAATTGAAAAAAATCTATTTAGAAAACTGGGCCTTTATTAAGTATCTATGGTCTTCTGTTGGTTAATTAATGAAGGTTATTAGTGTTAATGATAGCTATAAAATTCTTCTCATAACGCTCTCAGCTGCTTGAAACGTAAAATAACCCACTTAATGCAAGAGTAGCTCTCTTGGAAAACATGTACCTTTGGATGGGAAAAGAAATGCAACAAATGATGAGTTGAATTGTATTTTTTCTGTAGATGACAGTATTCAGTATATTTACCCAAACCCCAAATCTTGAGATTCTTTTTTCTACAAATCAAGCTTCCACTCTATCCTTGGTCCTTTTTCTTTTTCAGTCATCTGGCCCAGAATCCCTTTATGTGTGACTGTCACCTGAAGTGGCTGGCAGACTATCTGTTTGACAACCCAATTGAGACGAGCGGAGCACGCTGCAGCCACCCCAGAAGGCTGGCTAACAAACGAATAAGCCAGGTGAAGGGAAAGAAGTTCAGGTGCACAGGTAGGAGATGACTTTACACAGACACTGATATACAAGCCAATCATGTATCCGAAATGTATACACAAACTTGTTTTGCAAACCTAGCTATGGGTTGAATTCCCCCAGATTTTACTTGTATATATGTAAACAGAATCTATCTAAGCAGAACACACAGCTGAAGGAA